TCTCTTGTTTTCAACTATAGCAGAGTCATAAGAGGTATCTTTCAGGTTCAATTCAGTTCAATTGCTCAGTCTTGTCTACTTCTTTGTGACCCCATGGACTACAGCACACCAGGCTTCCCTGTCCATCACCAACTCCCGGAGCTTGCTCAAATTCATGTCCATTGAGTCAGTGATGCCATACAACCATCTTACCTTTTGTGGTCCCCTTCACCCTGCCTTCAGTCTTTCCCAGCATCAGGGTCTTTTCCAGTGAGTTATTCTGTGCATCAGATGGCCAAAGTATTGGATTTTGTTTCAGCATCAGTCCTTCCAATGAATATTCAGGACTGATTTCCTTTAGGATTGACTGATTTGATCTCCTAACTGTCCAGGGTACTCTGAAGAGTCTTCTCCAACACCACAGTTCAAAATTATCTATTCTTTAGCGCTCAGCTTTCTAACTCTCACATCCATACATGACTACTAGAAAAACCATGGCTTTGACTAGACAGACCTTTGTTGGCAAAGTAATGTCTCTGCTTTTTAATTTGCTGTCTAGGTTAATCATAGCATTTCTTCCAAGGAGCAAGCGTCTTTTAATTTTATGGCTGCAGTCACCATCTGCAGTGATTTTGGAGCCCAAGAAAATAAAGTCTGTCACTGTTTCCCTTGTTTCCCCATCTATTTGCCATGAAGTGATGGGACTGGATGCCATGATCTTCCTTTTTTGAATGTTGAATTTTAAAACAACTTTTTCACTCTCTCCTTTCACTTTCACCAGGAGGCTCTTTAGTTCTTCACTTGCAGCCATAAGGGTGGTGTCATCTGCATATCTGAGGTTATTGATATTTCTCCTGACAGTCTTGATTCCAGCTTGTGCTTCATCCAGCCCAGCATTTTGAATGATGTAATCTGCATATAAGTTAGATAAGTAGGGTGACAATGTACAGCCTTGATCTTTCAGGTACATAAGTGTACTGAAGTTTGCAGATGATAAAAACAGGAGCACATTTAAGTTATTCTTGTACTCTTTATCTTCCTCACTTGTTTTTTGATGTGCTTTCTCGAATGGGAGAGAGAAATGGACTTATAGCTTTGAGCTAGGAATTCATCTACCCTAACCTCATCTGGGCTAGAGCCCATGGTGAAACAGTGGTATTTTATTAATAGTTAGAACTGCTGTGGATTATTTTAGTATATGCTTTCGTTGAATGTTGTTTTGTGATTTATCAAAACCCAGATACTGTTATCTACTGTGAACATCTTTTGTTAAAAAGAAAAAAAGAACAGCAAAAAGGAGGAAAAAATAAAATTGGAATATGTCCTAGTGAGAAAAGAAGTGAGAAAAAAGGAACTTGAGCTCTCTTTTCCCCTGCCTTTTAAATATATGGTTACTATTGTTAGAGTCTGAAATTTTGAGTTGGAGGGGACCTCTGGGTTATTGAAATGATAGACTGTATAAAAAAAAAAAGTTTGGGAACAATTTAGGATACATGCTAGGATCAGTTTTATATTTTCTAATAAATTTTTGTTTTCCTTTCTTAGTATTAGTTCAGAAGCAGGCCTCGAAATTGATAGCCAGCAGGAAGAAGAGCCTGTTCAGGCTTCTGATGAGTCAGATCTTCCTTCCACCAGCCAGGACCCTCCTTCCAGTTCTTCTGTAGGTAAGTCCCTGCTCCAGACTACAGTATAGCTTTTACACATCAGTCTTGTTTGCAAAAGACACTGTTCTGTTAGTAACAATTGATAATTCTTTTTTCCTTGTCTTTTAAAATGCTTCATTTGAAAGGAAAATTTTACTTTATTAAAAAGAACTTTTAATTTGTATTGAAGGGAATTGGTTGTATCAAAGGTGCCATAGGGGCTGGAGGGATGGATTATTGCGAGGGACGCTAAAGAGTGGTCTCCAGGCTCTTGCCTCTATTTAAACCAGAGCAATTCTTTTCTTTATTTCTTCTAACTGATAAGTTCTACATGAGAGTTGGTATGTAGAGTTGAGGATTGGGAGGCCTGTTGCTTAAAAAGAAATTGAAATTTACTGATGTAAATAGTTTTAAAATTTGGTTTTTCACATTTTTGAAGTTAACTTTGAAAAGGGCCATGGATCTTTCTTGCAATAAAAATTGTTTCTGCAGTTCTTTTTTAAAAATGGCTAATATTTATTCAGCACTTAACTTTGTATCAGACAGTATTCTAAGCCCTTTACCTGTATTTGTTCATTTAATTCTCATACCACCCAACGTGGTAAGCACATATCTCCATTTCATAGAAATGGAAACTGAGTCACAAAAAGGTTGAATAATTTCCTTCAAAGTCACACAATAATGGGCAAGCCAGGAGGCAAACTCAAGAAGTTTGACTGGAGATGCCACTCTTAAATGGTACACTGAGATAGCTTATTTATCTCAAGAGTTTTTAGCTAGGGAATTTCTTATATTATTAGAGAAATATATCCTCAGTCACCCACTCTTAATTGTTTCATTTTAAATTGTTTATAGCAGTAATCTTCAAACTCTGTCATGGAACCTTCAGGTTTTATGGAAGACCTTCTCAATTACTACTTTTTTCAGTCATGGCACTTGGCTATCTCAAGACCTCTTCTCCCTTTCTGCTGCTTTTCTGTGACACATTGACCCATTAGCTAATATGCCCAGATTTAGATTCTGTATCTGTCTTTTAACAGCTAGTAACTTTAAATCTCTGCTCACTTCATTGTGAAATGTGGATATTCATAATTCATCTTCCAATCAGGATTAGAAATAATGTATGTAAATTATATAACTCAGTGCTTTGCACACAGTAAGGCTCCATTTGTAGCTGTCATAATTATTATCAATATGGTAGCATTATGAATAATATAATAATTGAAGTTCTGTGCCCCCAGTCATATTCTGATGTCCCATGAGAATTATCTTTCCTCCACCAGTGGGCACGAGTTATATCTTACCAGAGCTTGCGTAAGAAAATATGGTTCTTATTCCCTTTTACAGTATAATATGAAATTAGGATATTAACACTAATCCTCCCCATCTGAGCAGTCATCCATGTGGTCAGCAAATATTTAAGTGCCTACCAAGTGCCAGGCAGTTTTACAGAAGCGTTACCAAAGAAAGTGATATTTAAGGAAAAACCTGAAGGTAAGGAAGCAAAGCTGCGCAACTCTTCAGGGGACCATGTTCCAGGACGAGAAAAAGAGTAGATACAGAGGCCATAGGCAGCAGTGTGGTACGTTCAGGGTCAGCAGAGAGGCCCGGGTGACTGAAGCGTGATCTGCACAGAGAGAGAATGGCAGGAGATGAGGGGTGGGGGAGGATAGATCTTGTAGCCCATTGTCATTTCTTCAGCTTTCATGGAAGCAGCAGGCTTTTGGAGGGCTTCAGACAGTGTGGTGACAGGATCTGACTGAACTTAGTATCAGTTTGGCTGCTGTGTAAAGAAGAGACTGAAAGTGAGTAATGGGCAGCAACAAAGAGAAAGTTTGGAGAATATTGCAGTAATTGAAGGTAAAGACAGGATAGTGGATGTTTTAGACAGGATAGTGGAGTCAAGATTGTGAGGAGTCAGGTTCAGGATATAGATTAAAATTACAGGATTTGCTAATGATTGGATTGGGGGTGTCTGGAAAAGGGAGGAGTCAGATATGACTGGTGGTATATCGAAATGGACTGTTGTTTCCTGAAGGATGTTGCTAGTTTGTTTTCCCATTGTATTCCCCAGCTCCTTGCTCAGTGGATAGGAGCCAAGTAAATATTTATTATTAAATCATAACAGTTGGGTGAAATGAATGAAAAAGTCAAAAACAAATTTTTTTTTAACTTTTTACCTTTTTGTTTGTTAAATGTCCCTTGTTAAAAAACAAACAATATTTAAATATAGAAAGCAGTGGGCACCTTTGCATTCTATCCATGCATTCACTTAGTATTAGTTTTTGTCATTTTAACTGCTTTCTTGTTTATTAACTTGCTTTCCTGTATATTAATGCTTTTCTTAGATACTAGCAGTAGTCAGCCAAAGCCTTTCAGACGAGTAAGACTTCAGACAACATTGAGACAAGGTGTCCGTGGTCGCCAGTTTAACAGACAGAGAGGTAAATTTCTGATATGCTGATCACGTTGATAGGATATGCAGTAATATTAAATGGAATGAGTTTTCTAATCCTTAAGCTTCCAGTGTGTATTTATTTGACATTTTTTGTTTGTTCTTTAAAATACTCCAGGGGCTGATTAAATAATTACACGTTTTAGCTTGTCATGTTTACTAATCTATAAACTACTTGTAGACAGGTTTGTATACCATAGGTTATGAATATGTACTTATATTTTATTTTTACTCATTTCTTCCTTGAATTCAGGGTAAGATCTGAAAAAGCTAAAATGTTATACTGCTGTGTAATCACTTGTTACATCTCTGCCTTTTGTTGTTATACCTTTTTTACAGAAAAATAAGGATTTGTGACTTGTTTAGCTAGTCACAAAAGAAAAGAAAAAATGTAAAAAAAATGTAAAATTTTAATATCTTTGTTTTCCAGTTTAACTATTAGAGATTGCATTCATATTATAAAACATTAATCTAATTGTAATGATTTCCATTGAAGATGTAAAATACCTAACAGTTTCATGTCTATACGCTTAGACACTTGATCTTGAAAATTTTTATAATGAATTAGGGTAAGTGAATACTCTAGTTTTAAGCTAACTTCTTAAAATACTCTAGTTTGAGCTAACTTTTTGAAAGATGCATTCAGTTTATTCTTTTTTTCTCTTATAGGTGTGAGCCATGCAATGGGAGGGAGAGGAGGAATAAATAGAGGAAATATTAATTAAATGTTCTGTAAACTACAATAACTGTGAATAAGATTGTCAGATCTGTTTTAGTGTAATGACTGTCAAGTTTAAAAACAATTTTGTATTTAAATTGGTATGCTTATCTCAACGTTCTTTATTAATAAAATGTATTTCAGTGTCAACATTTATCATTCGCCTCTTCATTTTAATTAGTTGATTCTTCCTTCGCCCATCAGTCTAAGGACAGTTGTACCAGATATTGGATAAAGTCTGCCCAGAACGAGTAGTAATGGCTCTTGCTGTCCTCCTTGGCACGTCGATGTTATAGTATTGATCTAAAAAGAGGAAGGATTACTTTTCAATTAAAAAGAAAATAAAACACTTAAAAGTAGTTTCTATTTATTTTTATGCTCAAAGAGAGTATTTATCATTTTAATATAAAAAATGTATTAATTAATTAATTTGAACTTTCTGACAAAAAGAAAACCAGCTGCCTAGGCAGACTGACCTTTCACCATCTTTCAATGAAATTATATTTAATTCTGCTTTTTCAGTGTAAGAATTTGAGAAAACCAAGTTAGTTTAAAAAATGATCATTTGTTTGAATTTTATTCTTTAAAAAAATACATTCTGATGTCATTTATATAGGCAGAATAGCTTATATTTTCATGGCTTTTTCAAAGAAAAATACCCCAGGTAATATAATTAATAAAATTAGTTTCTCAAGAACTTCTTTCTGATCTTACAGACTGTGTAATGATAAAAATAGGTATAACTTCATAGTAAGTAAGGCCTCTGTCAAATGCCACTGATAATAAAAGTAAAATATTATTTTCAGTAGCAGTTTTAACTCAGTTTAGTGGATGTTTTATTATACTAGGCTTTAATCTCATGAAGGATAAGGCAGAAATGAATTGTAATCCATTCAGTTTAATTAAAATAAACCAATAACCTCTAAGCTTTCTCTTCAGAATAATTAGAGTAAATGATAGAATTTAACTTCTCACCTTTAGTCACCATTGAACACTTGGTTTTGCTTTGATTTTATTCATGTCTCAAAGATAATAACTTACCTTTAGAAAAGGCATAGTAATCATAGCCATCAGGTTTTCTGATGTTGGGCAGTGATATTGCTGAAGTAACCACATTTGGAAGTCCTGTCCACAGTGTACTCACTTTAACTTCATTATGGAGGAAACCTGTAGATGACATTTTAAATGTGATATTGAAAGGCAGTGTACTGTAAGCAGTTGGAAAGAGCAGTTGTTGAGTCAAACAGACATGGGTTTTAACCTTAGTTTGGTCACAGTAGCTCTGTTACCTTGGGTGAGTTAACTTCAATGCCTCAACTTTTGCTGTCTCTCATATGATACAAATATCTACCTTTTAGGACTGTTTTGAGGGTTATAGATTTGAGCTTAATGTTCTTAGTTAATGGTGTTTATTATAATTAATAAACCTGAATAAATTGTCTTTCTTATCCACAAAGAAAAATACCGTATTGATCTTTGGTCATTCATTGAGGCAAATTGATGTTTTACATTAATAAGCTTCAAGTATTAGGGTTATTTGGCCAGAATTTATATTTAATAATCGATACTATATTACATCTACTTCATGTGTAAAAATTAACACAGTAAAAAATATTACCTTTGTCTTGATAAGGGACTCTGATGGGTGAGTAGTGAATTCTGATGGTGTGTATTTGAGAAGGTCCTATAGCACGTTCAAATCGACGTCTCCTAACCTGTGCTGTTTCTCCATACACAGAATAGTTTATAGCAGGCCTTCTTCCAGTACACTTTTGGGTGGGTTCCTGTTTGTAAGTGTACTGCTGAACACTGCCACCTATGATGAATTAGAAAATCACATATAGTATGAAAATTAATTCTAATGCCCAAAAGAGGTGGAAGAGAGCTTTTTACAACGTAGAGGAAACGATGGATGTTTTTTATACAGTATGGTCCAGCCATTAATAATGGTTATTAGTCAAGGGTACTATAAAAATAACTGACTCTTGAAGTACTTGTGAATAAAGCCAGTGCACTGCATAGTTATATATTTAGCTTTGTTTGAAATAAATAACATTCTTTATATAAATGTCCTGAAAACTCATGAAATTGTGATTTGAATGTCAAGAAAGCAAAATACTTCTTACTGCCCTTAATTTATTTTTTAATTGAAAATATTTGATTTTAGACATTAAAGATATTTGTTAACAGTAATCCCAGTAATAAATGAAAATATTGAATGAAATTTTCCTGTCAGATTTCTCCTTAAAAGTTTTAATTTTGTTAATTATGTAACACATACCTCTCTTGAAAAAATACACAGATTCAGGTCTGTTCTTGTATTGAGCTATTGAGAGAGCTGCCACTATTTTTCCACTTAGTCCTCCAAATCCTTTGGAAATTAGTTTGGGATATCCTGCATCTTTTTTGTCATTGGTGAAACGCCAGTACTGAGAACCCTGATAATTAAAAAGAGGAAATGACGTGAACAGCTTTTTAAAAGGTTATAAAGCAAGTGGGAGGAAGGTTAGAAACTCATTATTAGATTTAAGTATTGGGAGAAAGTTTTACCTTAGTTAATAATTTGAGTAATTTGACAGGGTTACCATATTTTTATCAAATTTTAATGGTAGTTTGTTTATATATGGAGACTTTCTGAAATGGAAGTTAAACTGGTTTATGTTTTCATAATAAAAAGTAACTGCTGATTTCTCTCACAAGGATATTTTTCTTACCTTAAAGAAGAAAGTCTTTCCTTCACAGTTGCATCTCGTAAAAACAGTATCAATGGGGGAGGGAATGCCCCAAACTTCAGTAATTCTCCGAGGTGGAGATGGTGGACTGAATGGAGTTAGCATCCAGAAATAATGACCTAAAATTGAAAGTGACGATCAGCCTACAAGCTGAATGAAGTCTGAAACCTATCCCAGAAGAAATCAAAATCAAATCTTTTAAAAATAGTTTATCATAAACAGATTGAATGTGTTGACAAGCATTCTATGATGGTTAGTCAGAATTGTAAGTACTAAATGCAGACGACCGTATTTGAACATTTCTGAGAATAGATGTTTCTCAAGTCAAATTTAGCATGACAAAATTTTTAGTTTCCCAGTTTCTCTAGAAAGGGCCTTCTAGCTTTGATTTACAGAAAGTCACTTAATCTCTCAATTTCTTTATCTGTTAGAATTAAGTAGTTACAATTAAATAACTTAGTTGTGTTTGTTACTTTATTCCCTAGTGGCTCAGATGGTCAGCAATCTGCCTGCAATGTCAGAAGACCCAGGTTTGATCCCTGGGTCAGGAAGATCCCCTGGAGAAGGGAATGGCAACCCACTCCAGTATTCTTGCCTGGAAAATCCCATGGACAGAGGAGCCTGGCAGGCTACAGTCCATGGCATTGGCGGAGTCAGACATGACTGAGCAACTAACATACTTTCACTGTGTCCAACTTTTTTAATCCAATGCTTTAGTATTTACCCTCAGGTCCTCATAATAATTATGTGAGGTAAGTTTATCAGTCAGCTTTCCCTCCAGGAAGCTCAATTCAAATTTGTACTCCAATGACTCGTTCCCATGAATACCAAGAACAAAACAAGGAGCAGAAAAATGTGTACAAAACTCACCTCGAAATGCAACTAATGTCCCGTTACGCAAAGTAGTCAGTCCATCTACTGGCCTACCATTGCATAAATTAGTTTCATCTGAAACAACACAAATTAAGCCAAGATAAAAATGAGAAGAGGGTTTCGCTCTTTTCAAACCTTCCCATCAGGTTCTCTTTCCTCCGTTCACCCTTTCCTAAGCTCTTGAAGAGTACATATTTGAGGTACATGTACTTCAGAGGTTTAAAAAAAGTGATGCTGTTCATAGTTGTACTTCAAGGTGATATTACTCAAAAAAGTATATAAACATACATTTTGAATTGGAATGGGTTAGTGTACCTGATCTTCATGTAAATTTGCCAGGTATTGGATGTTCAGTCTCAATGTGAAATTTTTTTTCTTAGTTCTGATTGCCTTGTGGAATTGATTTGGCAAAGAATATTGCAGATTCTTGTAACCCTAAGTTGTTATTTGATTTTCCAAATACCAAATAAACTTATTTGCTTACCTGTAGAGAAGATGTAAAACTTGACGAGTTAAGTTCAGGGTTTTAAATATATATCAATAGAATAATACTAAATCAGGGCATTCTGGTTCAGAAAGATTTAACATTGCCGATTTTAAACGTGAAAATAACTGATTGATGTTACCTGAAAACATGGGGCTGATGCCGAAGCCTTGACTGGGTCCTCTCACTATGATTTCAGTGCCTGGAATAACTATAGGAGTTAGCACAGGGGGCCTGAAAATCACATGAGGTTTTTCTCCTTCAGCAGCATCTCCATCCTCATTCTTTGGGTTTACCTCAATTATTTCTGAGTTGGGGGTTGGGGTAGGGCTGGTGGTGGTTTGGAGCATGGCTTCTGGTAAAGAGGTAGGAGTCGGTTCAGGCACTGCTGATGTCGTCATCTTTGGGGGAGTTGGTGTAGTCTTTGGTTTTCTCACTCTAGGTGTTCTTGGCTTTTTGGTTGAAGTGGGCTTTTTGGGTGCTTTGGTTGGTTTCTGAGGTTTAGGAGTTGTCACTTGAGAATTAGTAGCTGTGCCTTTTGGTACAGCTGTGGTCTGTTCAGGTTTGCTCGTAGTCTTCTTGGTCGTCTTCTTTGTTGTAGTCATTACTTTAGGTGCAAGAGTTGCTTTAGGAGTAATTTTGGATGATGTTGTGGTATCTTTGGTTGTGGTAGATGTTGCATCTGTGGTTGTACTTAGTATTTTGGATTCAGTAGTCTTTTCTGTTTTAGTTGCTGCCTCTGTTATAATCTTAGCTACAGCTGTTGTAATTTCAGGTGTAGAATGTATGTCTTTTTCTGTGGACTTGTCTTTAACTGTTGTAGTCATTTCAGGTTTGTTCACTTTAGGAGCCTTGATTGTGGGTACTGCAGGCTCCTTGGGACTGTTTTCAAGAGCCTTTGGTGTGGGTTCTATAGGAGGTTGAGGAGTTGATTCAGCAGGGCTCTTTGGAGTAGTGGGAGGCTCCACTGTGGTAGTTGAAGTAGAGGTCTCTGAGGTGGTTGGAGCAGGTATATCAGGAGAACTTGGAGGAGATGTCTCAGGAGAATTTGGAGTGGGCTCCTTAGGTTCAACAGAAGCAGACTCCTTGGGGGTGGTGGGTACAGGTTCCTTAGGAATGGTGGGAGCAGGCTTCTTGGGGGTGGTGGTGGGTACAGGCTCCTTGGGAGTGGGTGCAGGCTCTTTGGGGGTGGTGGTGGGAGCAGGCTCCTTGGAGGTGGTGGGAGCAGGCTCCTTGGGGGTGGTGGGTGCAGGCTCCTTGGGGGTGGTGGGAGCAGGCTTCTTGGGGGTGGTGGTGGGTACAGGCTCCTTGGGAGTGGGTGCAGGCTCTTTGGGGGTGGTGGTGGGAGCAGGCTCCTTGGGGGTGGTGGGAGCAGGCTCCTTGGGGGTGGTGGGTGCAGGCTCCTTGGGGGTGGTGGGAGCAGGCTCCTTGGGGGTGGTGGATGCGGGCTCCTTGGGGGTGGTGGGAGCAGGCTCCTTGGGGGTGGTGGGAGCAGGCTCCTTGGGGGTGGTGGGTGCCGGCTCCTTGGGGGTGGTGGGTGCCGGCTCCTTGGGGGTGGGTGCAGGCTCTTTGGGGGTGGTGGTGGGAGCAGGCTCCTTGGGGGTGGTGGGAGCAGGCTTCTTGGGGGTGGTGGGTGCAGGCTCCTTGGGGGTGGTGGGAGCAAGCTTCTTGGGGGTGGTGGTGGGTACAGGCTCCTTGGGAGTGGGTGCAGGCTCTTTGGGGGTGGTGGTGGGAGCAGGCTCCTTGGGGGTGGTGGGAGCAGGCTCCTTGGGGGTGGTGGGTGCAGGCTCCTTGGGGGTGGTGGGAGCAGGCTCCTTGGGGGTGGTGGATGCAGGCTCCTTGGGGGTGGTGGGTGCAGGCTCCTTGGGGGTGGTGGGAGCAGGCTCCTTGGGGGTGGTGGGTGCCGGCTCCTTGGGGGTGGTGGGTGCAGGCTCCTTGGGGGTGGTGGGAGCAGGCTCCTTGGGGGTGGTGGGTGCAGGCTCCTTGGGGGTGGTGGTTGCAGTCTCCGGGGTGGTGGGAGCGGGCTCCTTGGTGGTGGGAGCGGGCTCCTTCGGGGTGGTGGGAACAGGCTCCTTCGGGGTGGTGGGAGCAGGCTCCTTGGGGGTGGTGGGTGCAGGCTCCTTGGGGGTGGTGGGAGCAGGCTCCTTGGGGGTGGTGGATGCAGGCTCCTTGGGGGTGGTGGGTGCAGGCTCCTTGGGGGTGGTGGGAGCAGGCTCCTTGGGGGTGGTGGGTGCCGGCTCCTTGGGGGTGGTGGGTGCAGGCTCCTTGGGGGTGGTGGGAGCAGGCTCCTTGGGGGTGGTGGGTGCAGGCTCCTTGGGGGTGGTGGGAGCGGGCTCCTTGGTGGTGGGAGCGGGCTCCTTCGGGGTGGTGGGAGCAGGCTCCTTCGGGGTGGTGGGAGCGGGCTCCTTGGGAGTAGGTGCAGGCTCTTTAGGGGTGGTGGGAGCAGGCTCCTTGGGGGTGGCGGGAACAGGCTCCTTGGTGGTGGGAACAGGCTCCTTGTGGGGGGTGGGTGCAGGCTCCTCGGGGGTGGTGGGTGCAGGCTCCTTGGGGGTGGTGGGTGCCGGCTCCTTGGGGGTGGTGGGAGCAGGCTCCTTTGGGGTGGTGGGAGCAGGCTCCTCGGGGGTGGTGGGTGCAGGCTCCTCGGGGGTGGTAGGTGCAGGCTCCTCGGGGGTGGTGGGAGCAGGCTCCTCGGGGGTGGTGGGAGCAGGCTCCTTTGGGGTGGTGGGAGCAGGCTCCTCGGGGGTGGTGGGTGCAGGCTCCTTGGGGGTGGTGGGAGCAGGCTCCTTGGGGGTGGTGGGTGCAGGCTCCTTGGGAGTGGTGGGTGCAGGCTCCTTTGGGGTGGTGGTGGGAGCCGGCTCCTCGGGGGTGGTGGGTGCCGGCTCCTCGGGGGTGGTGGGTGCAGGCTCCTTGGGGGTGGTGGGTGCAGGCTCCTCGGGGGTGGTGGGAGCAGGCTCCTTTGGGGTGGTGGGTGCAGGCTCCTTGGGGGTGGTGGGAGCAGGCTCCTTGGGGGTGGTGGGTGCAGGCTCCTTGGGAGTGGTGGGAGCAGGCTCCTTAGGGGTGGTGGGTGCAGGTTCTTTGGGGGTGGTGGTGGGAGCAGGCTCCTTGGGGGTGGTGGGTGCCGGCTCCTTGGGGGTGGTGGGAGCAGGCTCCTTGGGGGTGGTGGGAGCAGGCTCCTTGGGGGTGGTGGGTGCAGACTCCTTCGGGGTGGTGGGTGTAGGGGATTTGGTTATAGTTTCAGCTTTGGGTGTAGATGTAGCAGGAACTTCAGGTGTGGGTGCAAGACCTTTAGTAGATGTATTCTCTGCAGTTCGTGTCTCTTTAGCTGAAGTAGTCTTCTCTTTTGCGCTAGTGGAAGTCTGCTTATTTGTTGTAGAAGTCTCTTTAGTTTCAACTGTTGTCTCTGTGTGGACTGTCGAAGGTGTCTCTTTAGTTGTGTCAGATTTAGGTGGAAGACTGGGCTTAGGAAGTGTTGGTTTTACTGTTGTAATCTTGGGAGTTGTGGTAACTTTATTACGTTGAGTGGTGGGAATGTTAGGAGTTGGGGTGAGCTTGAAATCACCATTATCCAGTCCACTTCCACCTTCATCTATAACTGGTGGTTCTGGGGTAGGTTTCTTTTTAGGAGTTCTTTTCTTCTTGTTATCTTTTACTAGAGAGAAAAAAGATACATCTTTTTATTTTTGTGACATAAAGATGCCATCCTTATCATTGACTGGCTGTGTGTGTCTAGGCAAATTGCTAATCTCTGACATGTCTATTGATTTACTGTAAAATGGTAAATAATATTTTACTGGACTATTTTAGTGAATGAATGAGATAAGGGATGAAAAATACAAAACTCAATACAATTAATACATGGAAGCAAGTGGCAACTTGGAAATTGTTAATATGATCAATAACACTAATTCAACTCTCATATCAATGTTCTTTGCTCCTCACTTTCTTAGCTTTTCTTATTCCTTATTGCTCATTGCCCCTTTACTGGAAACCTAGTTCCAGCATCTTTTAGACCCACTGCACCAATTCCCTCAGAAACCTCTATAACTGCATCCAAGGAATCTGTTCCAGTCAACCCCAAGCTTCTAGCTTAGCCCTGCTTCCATGCACATGGCTTTGAACTGCCTTCTTTTCCCTGTCCATCTAAACTCAGCAGTCTCAGGGGATACAGAGAGGGAGATTAGGATACCATGGCAGGAAAAGGACCCTATTTAACAGGACTTCCCATAACAGCCACCCCATAGGTGGTGCCCAAGAGGCACATCACTTGGATGAGTTCTGTTTATCAAACAATTCTATTAATGCTCAGAGATTAAATATCTTGCTATTCAGCTAGAAAGATGGCTTCAGGAACCACCCAGGAAATAGAATTCTTCAAAACTTCAATATCCAAAATCTGCCATTTCCTGGAGAATGAGAATATATTTTAGAAGTTCAGGAAATAATTTTTAAAAAGCAGAACAAATGAAATTTCTCTTTAGGAGGTAATCGCCAATTCTGTAGTATGTCCTTTACTACATAAAAATCAGATATAACATAGTTAGAAAAATAATAAAGATCTGTAAAATGTGAATAATAATATTGCCTTTCAGGAATATATGATAATTTAATGGATTAAAGTTGTGAAATACTTAAGGAAGAATATAAATGTTCTCTATAGGGAAGGAGAAATGAAACCACAATATAGAAGAGAGAGAAATGCTGTCAGGTGGAGAGGAACTGAAATAGAAGACCATTAGTAATCATCTCTGATGCCATCCTATGGTTCTAGAGTTGCTGCTCTCGTCTTCTTTGGCTCTACAGAGTGGTGTCTTAGCTGCTTGGCACTAATTTCCTATAGGAAATTTTCACGAATATCTTTTAATATTTATGAAGTCACACCCCCCTCAATATTGGAATGTCCTCAAATCATTCTCCCACACACATGACTTAGATAATTATTGTTAACATGGCATTGATATAGTCATTGATCTTTATCAATGCTCAAACCTTTGGGTTTCTTCTTTAATTCTCTATTAGCAGCTGAATTTTTGGAAGACTTGATTTTCCGAATAGTTGAAGAGGAAGAGGAAGAGGAGGAGGAAGACTCTTGATTTTCAGAAACAGAATGTTCTATAAATCAAATAAAAAAGTTGATCACACCAACTGTGATTTAAAGCAAAAAAGAACTGCCAGTCCAAATGCAACAAGAAATGCTGTTTATTGATCTACAAATGTCATATTCTGCTCTTGTTTTATCAGTAAAATGAGCAACTTCTCTTGTAAATGTCTGTTAAAAGCAAGGCACCTGAGCTTGTCACAGATACTAGAGTATAACTATTCAATATATAACTGTCACTCAACTTTCTTATATCCCACTGAATCAAGTCGTTATACAAAGAAAATCGTGAACTCTTTTTTTAAAAAACAGTAAATCTTGTTTCTTCTGATTATTTTAATCTAGTCCTGTACAGTTTGGTAAATAAGAAAAATAACTTTGGCTTGAACTTTGACTTAAACAAAAAGTGTGATGAGCCTTTAATGACTTAGAAGATCACCTTATTCTATGAAGAGTTCATAGAAGTAGTCCACCTACAGATTGTTTCATCTTAGAAACAACCTTTTGTTACATCTGTCATCTTCCTACCTTCTGTTATTTCCTCTGATTCTATAACTTTCTTAGTCTTCTTCTTGTTTGGTGATTTGGGTGAACGTTTGGTTGTTGATTTGATGGTCTGAGATGCTCCTGAAGGTGGAGGTGCAGTCTTTGGAGGTGGAGGTGTTGTGGGGTTATGCACTGAGGCCAAGCAAGACAAGTTGGTTAACATCTGGTTCACATTCATCAGCAGCTCTAACTGTGAAAGGCACAGATGCCATCTGGCTTCCAGAGTAGACGCTAGTGAAAACCAGTGCAGGCAAGCTCTCAGCCCAGCACTAACTACTCCAAACTAATGAATTCTGAGAATGCATTGGTATTTTTTAAAAAAAGAAAAAAGATTCTCAAATCACTGTAAATTATGACTTGGAGCAAAGACTCAGGAGTCAGAAGACCTGAATTCCAGTTCTAGACCTGCAAGGCTCCGCTGTTGACCTTGGACAAATGGGCAAACCCTCTTGAACCCCCCTGCCTGCAAACTGAGATGTTTTCTCCTAGATGATTTCCAGAGGTGTTTGCCTGCCTAAAAAATGCTTAACTCTCTGCACTCCATTCTTTATGCCAGCCTTCTGTGATAAAAAAATAATCCCTGCATGTGGTTGACAGATATTTGTGCTCTCAAGAAGAAAAATATAAAAATTACATTCTCCTGTTGTCGTATTCATTTAAATCAAATGATACCAATTTACCTTCCTTTTCTTTTTCAATTACAAAAGTTCTACATGAATATTTACCCATGGAAGAATTTCACACTTTCATATTATGCTTTCCTCAAAATGCATTGCCCTTCTCCAAGATAAAATAGCTTAATGGTTTGGCATGTACCTTTTTAACCTTTTATTGCCCCTACTCTTTGCCCCTTCTCATGCCTAGAAGAGAAGACATGGAATATGTTTGATCATTAGGAACTATAAGAAAAGAAGAGGGACTTATCTGAAAGATAAGAGAACAGGGAGAGAGAAGGGCCCCTGGGTGGAGGAGAGTGGTGATAAATCCTGCTACTCTTACCAAACTTCTCCAAACTCTGTTTTTTTAATTTCCATGAGCTGACCACCATAATGTTCCCTCTTTGTCCTTCCACCCCACAAAAATGCCAGGTACCACAACTTGAAAAGTTTTTTCACATTCTAATGATCTTGACCAAGCTATTTAACCTCTTGGACTGTTTTCTCACCCACATTCAGAGGTGCTTGACTGCTTCAGTTCTTGAACTGTTAGGACTTTGAGACATATAGATGCCTATAAGCAGTGTCTACAGCAATCTTAAAATGACTAAGTGGTGAGTTGCAAGACAGCTTGGGTTTTTTTTTTTTTTTAAGAAAATGCTGAAGCTCTAATTGATGCTTCTATTTTCAGTTGGACCCTGACGATCTCTGTGAATTCTGTGAATGAAGCACTACCTTCATCATTTTTTTTTCATTGAGTTTTACATACACCTCAAGTAATCTGACCCGCCACTTGGTAGCATAAACTATTGCCTTTATTAATATGGTTCTCTCAATGACTGATCATTCTCTAATCATTTTCCCTTGCCATCCATCCTCTGCCCAAAATAAATTCTTAGTTTTTTGTCTCACAGCCAAAACAACTATCAGTGATGAGTGAATAAGAAGCACTCATCTCATAGGTCCATCTGAAAGCTGCAGGAACTCTGCACTTGGAGATTTTAATTACAAGGGTGTTGTCGCCATTATTTTTGGAATGTTTTCCAATGAAAACATTGAAAAGTTAAGAAATGTTCCTCCACTATGCTGATTAATAGTTTTCCACCCTATTTCTTCACTGTTTGAAAGAAGCAGAAGATGCAATCTTATTTAAATAAAATGATAAGATTATGCAAGCAGTACTCATTTTCACTTTTACTTTACAGATATTCCTGTTTTAACAGGGTAGGATTTAAGAGCAAACATTTGGTAAAAGAAAGGAATCAATTATTTAAATACATTTTTGTAAATCTTTTTTCTTTTGGTAAATTTAGAGGGTTTTATTAAGCTGTCAGAATACTCCTTCAGGACCTATAATCACAGAAGAGGATTTTAAAATGAAACTACCTTTTTTTATTGACCCCTTCATATACAGACATTTAGATAGAGACTATTGAGGAGACTGTAGAGAGGGGAGAGGAACGCAGTAGACAGCTAACTGCAAACAGTAGACAGTTTGACAGCAAACTTTGGTTTGCTTATCAATTTAGTGCTTTAAACTGACTCCTAAGTTTACTAGTTCAGAGAAGTTGAACGTGTTGATTCTGTCCTCAGATATACACTCAAGAACACAGAGCAAAAGCACAGATAGCTCAAAGGACAGTTGACTTTTTGAGGTCAGCACAATGGGATTAGACAAGAAATCATCAAATGAGCTGGATACTGTTGACATAACCTGCAATTGAACCACACCTGGAGGAGAAAAGCATGGATACAAGCCCCTATCTCCGTTACTCAACCTGCCATCTCTTGTGCTCCTGGAACCTGGCTGAGCCAGGGAGTGATAGGAAGACGCGTTCCTTCTTTAATTCATCGTGGTGAAACAAAGAGCTTACATGTTAGTAAAATCGAGAGCCGAGGTGGACCACGTGTTAGACATTCTCTGTGGCGCTAGGGGAGGTGCACAGATCTGGCTGTACCTGGAAGCGCTGACGGTAACCGGATGCTTACCTTCTTCGCAGAAAGTGCTGTAATCGGAACAGCACTTGCCGTACTTCTTACAGTCTGAGTCGCAGTCACACTCCCTCCCTCTTGCAAAGGATTCGAAGCAGCGGCCTTTACAGGAAAGCTCTACCCAGAGCAAAGCAAAACATTATGGGTTATTGGTTGTGTGGTCAGTCATGCCTATGTATTGATTAACCATTTTCCACCTTATAGCTGGCTAGAGCTCCAAAAGTGCATAGCTAAGTCTTCTCTGGAATTTGGAAAGTGGTTAGTTTCCCAAATGAAGACAGCTGAAGTCAAGAAAGAAATCTGGAGACTTAGGGAAACTTTTCTTGCCCTTCAAGGCTCCAACAGACATCCCAGTGCTGTCTGAGTCATTTCATGTATGGACAGTGGAAAACTGAGAAATGTCTAAAGAGGTAAGTATCCTTCATATGAATTCCCCCATCCTCTCCTCACACCATTACTTTCCAAACTGATTTTTGTTAATTGATCATACATATTCTATAACAATATATCCCAAAGAGTTGACTTAAAATAAATAGGTCACTAGTTAGGCTCCAAAATTTTTCAGAATGCGCAAACCTTTATTATGACAACCTGGCATGGTATAGAGCTGAGAGATGTCAGCCCAATCCTTTGGTATGGACTATATAAGAGAAGTCTGCGTGTTTTCCCCAAGAGCCTTGGTTAAAGCCACAGTGATTTACACAGGCATATTTGAAATAATTACCTTACACAACAAATAAATTGTACAACAATATATTTACCAACTTCACATGCAAATTCTAAAGCCGACATAACTTTGAGTCACCTTAATAATTTTCACAAATATGAAATTTTTGCACATTAACAACAAAATGGTCCAAAATATGTTTAAGTGAACTGTCATAACTTAAAATTGCACCCTTTGGTTTTAACTGAAATTCATCATTAAATACTCATTATTAAACACTGTAAAGTGCCTTTTTTCAGGTAACCTAAAACATATTAATATCAAAAGTCAAACAGTAAGAAAAATTATTTTATTTCCATGAACTTCTTTGATGAAGATATTGAAGGGCTCCATCACTAAGTAATTACTTCTCTGGTTAATAGCAAAGAATTACTACTGTTTACTTAATGACCCCTGAGTCACTCTATTAAGTCTCTATTTAAAACAAGACCTGATACTCGGCACCAGTCAATAGCCTTGTGCAAGTGACAGGTTTCCAAGTTCCCCTCCCCCTCCCCCTATGGTCGCAGCTTTGACGTCATCTTCAGGCACAGCACACTGCAACATTTACGCAAGGGAAGGGAGAAAGGCACCTCAGCACAAAGACGTGAACAGTTTGACAACAGCACTGCAAGGGGTTCAAGGGGCTCTCACGGGACATGAGCTTGACGGAGGAGACAGCAGCTCTCAGGACTTACCCACGGTGCAGACCTTCTTGAAGTCAGGGCAGCACTCCATGTAGTGTTGACAGTTATAGTCACAGTTGCAGATGGCATCTCTAGAATACCCTTCCCCACATCTCCCCGCACAGCTTGCTACATCTAAAATCATACAACACTAGTGTAAACATGGCCAAATGACTTTATATAGAGAAGGGGTCTAAGGAGTAGGACTAAGCCTCTCGGTGATGGAGAATTCTGTCCATTTGAAAAGGCTGGGAAGGATGGTTTGCGCTGGGTCCCAGTGACATTTGCTTCCTCCTCTTTAGTCATTACTAGACTGAGAACATAAATACACCTTTGAAAACCAGGCTGAGTAATGGCTTTGGACAAAGAGGGTGCTGTTCCTGGGGGAGGGCTGGCAGCTGCAATTCTACTAATGCTGCCATTTACCGAGCAACTCCGTGCTGGTCACTGAGTCATACACTATCTCTAACGCTTATGAAACGTTGCCAGGAGAGTTTCAGTAGTCCCTTTTTTAGAGATAAAAAAGCTGAAACTCAGAAATTTTAGGAACTTGCTCAAGGGCACCCAGTTAGTAGTTCCAACATATATGTATTACAGGTCAGTGAACACCTAGCAATCATTCTTATCAACCTCTTTCACTCTTAGAAATGTCCTGATTTGTATAACAAATTGTATGGTCATCCTAAGTAAACAGCCCACCTAGAATTTGAACTCTGATATATCTGAATCCAAAACCCAAACTTTCCCCACCCAATCACATTGCCTCTCATTCCTGATGATGCATTTATAGCAAGCTGGCTATGCCAGCGCTAATTTTCCTATACTCCTGCTCCTTTCGTTAGTGGGGATATCTGGGTTCTATAAATGTGAGAAGAAGTCAGAGGCCTTCAACCACTGCTAAAGAGAGTACAAAATAGGTAATTCTTGAAAAGCATCTGAGCATGAATATTAAAGTCATGAACAGAATTATTTTAGATAAAAGTATAATTATCCTTACATATATTTTTTAAATCATTTGGAAACACCATGAAAACCTCCCTGAGAAATAACCACAGAAATGTAACAACTGAATCCATCCGTGGAATAGAGACTGGCAGGTGCAGTATTCTAAATCCACAGAGGGATGTTGAAGCACTGAAAAAAATCTCAAAATAATGAATCCAGGAAAATTAAAGTCTTACTATGCAAGTAAAACATTGAACATTAGGACAACTTTCAGAACTTTTTACATACATATGTGCACAATGCATACAAAAATGCATATCATATATAGTGTATGTATATAAATACATATATTATATATACAGAAAAAAGAAGGGGAAGAAATTGAGAAGGCAAGAAAAGCAGACAAGACAACATCAAAAGATTATTTTACAACTAGCAGATTTCTGAAATGGGAAGTCAGTTATTTTTATAGGAAAAATTTATTTCCTTGGATTTAATGGATGTCCTAGTTTTACTGATGTTGATTTTAACAACTAGTTTTAAATTCATTTAATTAAAGGAGAGTAAAACTTTTTGTGACCCACCAATAGTGTTATGAGGAAGTGACTTAGGAAATGCACCCGTGTTATGAACCTTGTAACATTATTCTGAGAGAGCAGAAGAGCTTGGAGACACCAGAGTATTCATCATTCCTGATTAAATATTTATATTTGCTCTCATGAGTTTTTCCACCTTACCTAAGGGATTCTGAAACTATGTCCATGCAGGCAGGTATCTCACATGCTCAGTTTATTTAATCATTTTACTGGAAGTGTCTACCTTATAAGAGTAATTTTGCCACAACAATTATGTACCTTGATTTTTCTTCTCTCGTATTTTGCTTATCAAAGAAAAAAAAAAGGGAAACAAAAATCCAAAGCTTGGTGTTATTGTTAAGTAATCTATTTTATGATGCTAGAGACTTCTGTTAAGGTGATTCCACTGCACATACCTTAACATTTTCTAAAAATGAATAATAAGAACTGTTCTTACAGGACTATTTTTGGAGGGCTATGAATGGTTCAGTATTGTAAAATGACATTCACATCTGTGTAAATTCCTATCTGAATGAATAGTCCTTGAAAGAAGAAAGCACACTTTCAAGATTACTAAAATGCCCTTTGAAGCATAAATATTCACTGTAGTATATTTATATCAACATGATGCCAACATAAGCTATCGATAATTTATTTGATATAAAAGATTAGTTGAATTTATTTGTAAACATGTAGGAAAAATCATATGCTGTCTAAATATTGTTCATTTCAGTTAATCTGATGATATATCATTCCAACATAGTTTTGTTGTGTGTCTGTGTTTTTTAAACCTTTGGGAGAACCATAGAACAATAAGTACAAAAACTACTCTATTGAAAAGCTCAAAACTTCTAGAAAGATTTCATAATACAAAATGCTTATAAATATGCTACATATTCTTTACTTACTTTTAAGGTTTTACTATGCATTAAACTCAGACAAATATCATTTTTAGAAAGTTATTTCTTTTGTTGTCATAAAAGTCAGAACTGAACAATTAGCAATCTCTGTCAAATAAAAGTATTTCTGACAGTTAAGGTACCTTGAGAAGAAACTTGCTGAATTGAGAAAACAGAAAACAGCAGCAACGAGTAAATGGGAAGTATTTTCCACTCCATGGCTGCTTTCAGGTACTGAGCCCTCGCTGAAAAGAAAATAAAAGTATTAGAAAACTCCTCTTGGATCTCACCACTAATTTATGCTTGTATTACAGCATTTCAATAATTTTAAAATTCAATTTAATGATAAAAAAACTTTCCCATTCTTAAAACAAGACGTTTAAAAGTAACCAGCCTTAATTCATTGTAAATACTTGGCCATTAGGTTTAATCTTATACAGAAAAAAATCATCAAATCACCATCTCAATCATGTTACTGGCCATTTTAATACTTTAGAATCTCCCAAATAGAAAAAAAGACCTATCTTAAAACTCTATTCAAATGATAGCAAGTACTTACAGTGCAAGGTTTAAATCCTATCTTGAAGGGAAAAAATAAGTAACCAGCTTTAGTAAAATTTAATTTAACAAACAGAGTTATCATTCCAACTTTCTCTTAACTCTCAATATAAATTCATAAGCTTCCAGCAGGTGTATTGCATAAATGTGATTCTTTTCTAAACTCTCCAACTACTATCCTTATAAATCTTTTCAAGCACCTTTAATAAAGTATATCCTTATTGAATTGAAAACATATAATTCCATGAAGCAAGTTAACTGTGACACTTACCCGTAAAAGAAGAGATGAATTCCTCCAATGTCCCGTAAGTCTTATATATCAGAGCAAATATGTTAGGATGAACCAATTAGTCCAAAGGTTAGACAAAATCAACAGTGACAACCTATGAAATCAAACTTTCCTCATTTATTGGAACAGGTCCCAGACGACCAGACTTAAGTAACATCTGGAAACCACTTCCATTAATAAAATGACTACTACAAATAAATTTAGATTTATTGGCCCAAACACACTTCTAATTTCTAAGTGAAGTGAACAAATTGTTCTGAGATGGTAAATTGCTTGGCAGGCTTTGAGTAGTGCAGCAACTTTAAAATAGTCAAATGATGGTATCATTTCTTTTTTTTATTTTTCCAGTTAACCCAGCAAAGAGTGTTTTTGAAACTTTATCTAGTTTCAGCTTATGGCATAGGTTTTCTGAACTTATGCATTTAAATGTTTAATTCTTTTCTTGAGTATTTTCATTTTCACTGAGCACAGAAAATGTGCTTTCAGTTACCTATTAGGTGGATGATTTTCACTGTGGATTTTATAACTTCCTTTACTATGTAAAAACCTGCTTAAAAACTACCTTGATGTCTCCCTTAACACCTTTATTTAAGCCCAGCAATGTTTGGAAAAGGTCTTTTTACTTATTCATGTAGCTTCCTTGTCACAGAGAAAATGTGAACCATCAGCTTCCCAGAGTTGGGTCAGCTAGCTGAAGGTTTTACCCAGTTTGATAGGAAGTATTCCTGTTCAAGGGCTTCCCAGGTGGCGCTAGTGGTAAAGAATACACCTTCCAATGCAGGAGACTTAAGAGACGTGGGTTTGATCCCTAGGTTGGAAAGATCCCTTGGAGAAGGGAATGGCAACGCACACCAGTGTTCTTGCCTGGAGAATCCCATGGACAGAGGAGCCTGGTGGGCTACAGTCCCTGGGGTCACAAAGAGTTGGACCCCACTGAAATGAATGAGCACGCATGCACATGCCTGTTCGAGTCCTCTCTACCTACATAGGGCCTAGTTTGTGTCCTAGCACCTCCCTGAAATCTTGTCAGATCAATCTAAAGCACAACTGGAATAATTATTGAATTAACTGTTCATCTGTCTTATTCCCACCTCCCAGGCCCCTCGAACAATCTGAATTTCCCCAGGACAGCTAACTTCTATGTCTTCATATGTAGTACAGTGCTTCACCAAAGATGTATTCCATACAAGCTTATTGAACCAAACTATTGTGAGTTGGGGTCTGCTGTATACTATGTGTTTGGTAGGTGCAACACTTAATTATCATTAAAAAATGCCTTTAAATTTATATATAATCATCCATGTTTTACAAATAAGATGAAGAGACACAAATGAAGAATCTGTGACCCTACTAAGGATACATAAACGAGTAGGAGCCAGAGCCAAAATTTGAACCTATTTATTTTGAGGTCTACTGTGTTCCTACTCTATCTGGCTCCCTTCTGATGAAGGTCACCCCTTCAGTACTTAATCATAGTACTAAATGTTACTCCTCCATGTGTGCATGTGGGTTTATGTGATTGTGACCTTTGTAAACCAGAGATGGTAATATAAGCATCTCTTTTGTTTCCACAATTCTTATTCTGGGCTATATGTTTGAGGACAATTTAGAGACTATCTGATCTAAATAATCTCCTTTCTCTGAGAACTACCTCCCTGACTTTAGGCATGTTTCCCTTTTAGCCAGTTTCGCATACATGATCTTGCCACATCAGACTCAGCCAGCAAGATTGGGAATAGAAACCTGAAATAAACTAGGTTAATATGTTTCCCTGTCCTGGAAATTTGGAATTGCAACCCAGAGATGACAAGTTTGTCTATGTAGACATATAGTGTGTGAACGACTGTCTAAAGAAGTAGAGAAAGTCCTTCAGAATAAAGATACGCAAATGAAGGAAGCAGTCACGCAGAGAGTGTTCTGAGAGCTTCCTGGGTCTTGGTTATTCCTTGTTCCTGAGACCCAGTTGCCTTCTTGCCCTGGGTCTTTATGGCAGATTCTCCCTTAGGGGATGAAAGTAGCTAAAGATTATGATTTGTCTTACTTAAAGTCACTAATCAGTGCATAGCAGATGTACAGAGAATCCTGTTGGATGGAACTGAACTGAATTAATTCTTAGCGTTCCTGAGGTCAGGAAGGGGAAGCTAGAAGCTTTGTAACTTTTTCAAGTCAGATGTTTACATCTTTTTCTTGTCAGTTGTTTGAAATGCTGAGAATACCAAGAATATCAGAAATACACACAGACATATATTCTTAAACAGATTGAGTTCTGATTATTGCCTTCTAGAGTTATCTGTACTAATGTTTTCCTTCTTTGGATAAAGATGGAAAATCATTAGAATGATGGCAAGATATATTCTTTTTTATTTGGCTGCATTGCATGACATGTGGGATCTTCGTGCCCCAGCTAGGGATCAAACCCATATGCCTGCAGTGGAAGCATCAGTCTTAATCGCTGGACTGCCAGGGAAGTTCACAAATGGTGTTCTTAAAGTGGCTGAAAAATCTTCTCTAGTAATTCTTGCTAAATTCACCTTCTAGGCTTAGGAAACTGACAACACACACACATAATTGTGACCAATAACAACTTTAAACATATCCACTGAGACATCAAATACGTTGTCTCTGCGTATTACAGTAGGGAAAAAATGAGAAACTTTATTAAATATCAAGTTCATGGAGTTTAACCTGATTTGTATAATTCTATTGGGTAATGAAGCTATCTGGGTAGATAAAGTTTGCCTCTAAAGTATGGCAGCATTTTCATTTTATCTACTAAATATACAAACTGTACTAAACGCTTCATTCTGTGAGTAATGGACCATTCAGCCTTCCTTGCTGACCAAACAGAAATCTTTCCATTAGATTATAGGTTCCCCCTCTGAGATTTCTTTTCTCATTTAAATGTTTTTTCTTAATGTTCACTTAAATGTCACTCAATTGGGATAAAAATTATCTCAGGACTGGTTTTGGAGTGAGGGACATGGGGAGGAGGGGGAAGAGAGGGGGAGAGTGTGTTAATAATATTGGATCCTACCCTCATCTTCTAGGGGTGTTTTTCACTGGATTCACCCTCCTGAGCACCAGTGTCTGTGCTTGGCAGCAACACAGTGATGCCTTCAGGGAACATTCAAGTGTGTTTAGGGACATTTTCTCTGCATTAAATTATCCCAGACCGATGTGTCCTTCTTGCTGTGCCCTGTTTCCCCATCCCTACTGTTCCTTGTCACTTTGCCCTGTAGCCAGTGGATCTGCATCGAGCGGCTGCTCTCCCTCCACCTTTCCACGCTTCGGGTGTTTTTCTGTTTCTTCCAGAAGCAGCCTAGGAAAAACTGAAGGCTGGGAAGGGAAAGCCACAGAGGCAGTTTTGCTCTCTATTGCCCCAGTGTTGCTCACAATGCCAAATTAACGTCCTCTGGAACAGGGGTCCCCAATCGGTCTGTTAGGAACCTGGCCACACAGCTGGAGGTGAGTGGTGGGCAAAACCAAAACCATCCCTGCCTCCCACCCTCTGTAGGAAAATTGTCTTCTATGAAACCGGTCTGTAGCCAAAAAGGTTGGGGACCTCTCCTATGGAATAGACCAGGGGATTTGGGGACCACCTCAGGCTTCCTATGTGGTTCAGCGGTAAAGAATTCGCCTGCCAATGCAGGAGATGCAGGAGACTTGGGTTCAATCCCTTGGTCAGGAAGATCCAGTGGAGGAAGGCATGACAATCCACTCCGGCATTCTTGCCTGGAGAATCCCATGGACAGAGGAGCCTGGCAGGCTACAGTCCGTGGGGTCACAGGAAGTCAGACACGACTGAGACACAGCATGACATGACACATGGTCTGTCTGCTCTGTTCATGGCACTTTCACAGGGTTGTGGCTTTTTTTTTTCCAACATGGATTACAAGTCTGACCATTACCTAAGAATTATTGCATTTGTTTGCAGAGGTCGTGGGCCTTTTCTACCCTCTTCCAGATGCCCAGCTAGAGATTCCGCTGCCCAGCTCCCCATTCAGTCGTGCGTGACAAGGTGACTGCATTTTCTCCAGTGAAATGTGAGTGGATGGAGTGTGCACAGCTTCCACTCTGCCTCCCAGACAGCAAATCACTGACCTGGACACCCTCTTTCCCCACTTCTCATAGAAAGCTACATGGCGCATGCACGTGTCTTAATTGTGCCTCCCAGTGATCTGATAACTATTGTAATTAAACCCATTTTACCTTTGACTAGTTAAGACACAGAAAGATTAAGTAATGTGCTTAAGACTAGAAAGCAATAAATGGTAAAGTGAATATGTTAACCCATGCCTGTCGGGCTACACAGCCATGATTTTAACCAATTCTATGACCCAATGCTGTCATAGCCAAGGTTAATAACTATTTA